GCGTGCAATAAGGGCAAGGATAGAGCTGTTCCATTTGGGAGAAAAAATTCATGTGTTTCCGCAAACTCCTCCAGTCGCTGTACTTCTTTGCGCACTTCAAACAGAGAAGGTCGTCCTTGCAACGCCTCCAAATATCGCGTGGCAGTTGATCGCAAAAAAGTGGACCTTTGACTGAAACAGTATCGGAAAGTTGCATCAGTGAGTGGTGATTTTTCGTTCGAGAAGAGAGAAAGGAGGAACAAACATAACGAGCGTCAACGGGAACGGATCTAAATAAGCTATCTTTGAACGAACGTTAACGATAAACCGTCGCGAGACGAGGCGACAACGGGACAACGACACAGGCACGGCTTTTGCGGACCAGTTAAATAAATTCCCACGCATCTTATACGCACATATATTCGCACGTACTCGCGTACGTACACGCGTATCCCACGATTCGATCGTTTCGCGTACTCGCCAGAGAGAACGCGAAAAGAAAGGAGAGATAGACTCCGATGGAACGGAAGATACGCGCGAAAATACGACTCGGAAAACCTTTCTCTCTTTCTTTTCTTCTTCGCTTCTTTCCCTTCTTCGTTTTCCTTTTCGCGTCGGATGATACTCCATGTCGAGGGATGGAATAGAATTGCTGGAGTTGCAAGCGCTTCCGTTACGGAAACAAGCGTGTACGAAGATTTTCTTTACGTCTCGGTGTGCCAGTGTCAAGGAAAAGCGTCATACGAGGTACGTAAACCGCGTGTATTTATTGTTCTTACGCAACACCTTACACAACAACAAAGTTTTCTCTTAAATCGTATTTGTCGGTATCGCGAGTCGAGGTAAAGGAAAAACCTATACGAACACGAATCTCTGGTACACGAGCGCCCTTAATTTTTCCAGTCGAAACGCTCTCCTTTACGCCATCCTTCTTCACAGAGATAAAGACAAACGGAGGAGAAATAATTTTCACAGCCCAATCAACTACCAGACGCGAGTTAACGAGAAAAATTAACGTCGCAATTTCACCATCGCGATACAACCAAGTGTAAACCGCCGTTTCTCATTGCAACTTCAATTTTTCTTATATGTCCTAGTGAAACTGTTTCTTTTTTCTTTTTCCTTTCTTGCTTTCTTCCTTTCTTTCTTTCTTTCTTTCTTTCTTTCTTTCTTTCTTTCTTTCTTTAAGTGCACTATTACGATCTTTTAATCCTAATTTTTCTTATAACGCAGTCTTAGAAGATTAATTTAAATGATTATGCAACGATATAAGAACAATAATAATAACGATGATGTGAATGATGACAATAATAATAGTAATAATAAGAGGAAGAAGAATAACGATGATGATGATGATGACGATGATGATGATGATGTAATAATAGTATTAGTAATGATAATAATAATAATGATAATGATAACCGTGTAATAAGTAGTAGTCGTAGTAGTAGCAGTAGTAGTAGTAATAGTAGTAATAGTAGTACTAGTAGTAATAGTAGTAGTAGTGGTGGTGGTGGTGGTGGTAGTAGTGATGGTATTAGTAGCAGTAGTAGCGACAGTAACGACAATAGAAAAGGGATAAAGTAAAATAGTTCAACGTATTCAGCACCATTAAAGTGTACGTACTCTGCGTTGCTGAAACGAAGTCGTCTCGTTCGGTTGCGGTGTTAGTAATACTCTATATACCACTCTTCTATGACACTCCCAAAACTACTATCTCCAAGTTCGGTAACGTGATACGTTAACATAGGCGTAGGATATCCGCGAAAGAAACGTTATCTCAGAGTTAAGTTACAATGAATTGGAAACACTATACACCAGGCAATAAACGAAACGACACTAAATGATTGGAAAGGATTTTGTAAACACGTAGAAACACTGGAACACGAATATTGGGCGAAAGATGGAATAATAGAAGACGCAACTGAAGACCTGGAATTGGAAATACAAAGCAGCGAGTCGAATAAGGAATCAGATGACAATAGCTCAAAGATTTATAAAGTAAAGCAAAAAAAGTACAAAAGTAATAATAATTAACATCATTTATGAGAATTGATTTAAAATTTAAGATGTATTTCTTATGATAAATTAATTGTATAGTTGCATCGTACTAGATAACCGTTTAAAAAAATCATACGATACAACATAAATATAAAAAATATGCGCATAGGACATCACGTTTGCTGCATAATGCAATGAAAAGTTAATCGAGATGCTAATTAGTAATTAGTAATTGCAGATAATCATGCGTTCGTCGGAAGAATCTAAAGTTAACATACTTTTGGGACGAGTCTACGCTCTTGCATCTATTTCTTGCGTCTGTCTCGCTTTGTCTCGTTGCTTCGGTCGCTTCCTTTGTCACATGGTGTTCTATGACCGGGCTAATAGGAAGGGATCGGTTTTACCGATAAGGGAAGCGTTTTACTCTATTTCTGCCATGATGTTAGAATGGTTGGGCTGGTGGGGACTCGGTCCTACGAGTTTCTCAGATGACTTCTTTTCAGCAACGCAGAGTAGTTGGAAGTTAGTTTTTAGAAAGGTACGCGCCTGATTCGTTGGCATATCGTGCTTGGACCAAAGTGCCAGACACGTGGAACGAATGCGCGACATTCACCTATCCTTAAATAGCAAAGTACCGAACCGCGTCCGTGTACTTTGAAAACTTTCAAGACCTGAACACTACTACGCGGCGCACACCGGATAACAGTAACAAATCCGACGACGAGAAAAAATCGTATCAAAGTCAAATTATGCCTCTATACGTAACTTTAAAGCATTTCCAAATTACAACGAAGCGTATCGTCTTCTTGTACTTCCAGTACATCGTTGATATTCGTATCTAACTATAAGACACTTGTCAAGAAAAGAGCACATAATTATCGCGAATATCGTGATCGTTGCGGTCCTTTGCCTTTCCACCGATCATTTTCGGTACAATCGCCAAAAAATCTTTCTTCGTGTTTCAGTGCCATTTATAATCTTACCTTACAAATACAGCGCGCGCGAGCACGCGCGTGAATGTGTGTGTGTGTGTGTGTGTGTGTGTGTGTGTGTGTGTGTACATATATATTCTTCTGATAGTCGGAAGCTTATCGAAAGGCCATCGGTATTTTACCCATCGGCAAATACTTGTATCCACGAACCACGCGAATAACGAGACACTAGTCTTAATCGACGTCTTTCGCGTTTCTTCCTTTTCGTATGCGCAGAACGATTTCAAATTTTGAAATAGTCGATTTTGCTTAAATTCCTCTTTGCGAACTAAATTATCAACGCCGAAGACTAAACAGATTCGTAAGGTTCTACTATATCCTTCGAAAGAGGAAGAAGAATAACGAAAAAAAAGAAGGAACAAAAAGGTAGAAAAAGAAAAACGTTTTCTTCTGGAAGAATCCTTCGACGTATTTTTTTTTTTTTTTTTTTTTTTTTTTAACCAATTTCCTACCATTGCCGAGAAATGTGTACGAAAATATAAAAAAAAGAAAAAAAAAAAAAAAAAAAAAAAAAAAAAAAAAAAAGAAAAAAAGGAAAGAATACGTCACACTCGGAAACTGGCGAGGAAAATCACTTGGCAATATTCTCGGCCAAAGGAACGATATTCGATTCTAGTCTCTACTCGATATCCCTAAAAGTAATGGTCGATTAGTAAACGTTCTCTTCCGAGACGGAGCGTCTTCATACTCTAGAGTCTTCGGACTTTTTTACTTCCACGTGGCACGCGTTCACCGGCTGATACTCTTGAGGAACAGCGTTATTGGCGCTATCGAAACTCTCGTTGTGAAAATTTCTCAGATGTCTGATCAGGCTGCAACGTTGCGTGAACTTCCGGTTGCAGAAGATACAGCAAAACTTCCTTCTGACGCCGCACTCGAATCGAACGTGGCGAACGAGATTGCCTTCGGTGACGTAGGACCTAGTGCAACGAGGACACTTCCATTTGCCGCTGGTATTCCTGATTTTACCGCATACCGTCCGACGATGACGATTCAGCGTGAATATGTGAGTGTAACCTTTGCCGCAGCTCGAGCACATGTAAGGCTTGTCCGTTTCCGGGATCCACGGGGAAGAGTCTTGAAAGAGTAGCCTCGGATCAGCCGAACAGCTCATACCCGGATTGAATGGAGCGGCCGAGTTGTTCGCGAGATCGATCGGTGGCAGACATTTTAGGTACATTCGGTAATCCGCTTTGCTCTCTGGAAAAAAAAGCAGAGAAATTTCACACGTTAAGGGGGGAGGAGGCGTGAAAATTCAAAGGAGAGAAGAAAGTTTATTGAATCTGAAAGTAGGCGATAGTACAGAGAATACGCATCGATGATTTGACCTCGATGGAAAGACCGAAAGAAACGGTTTCGAACGGTTCTACGCGAAAAAAGGTATATCGTACGCGATCTACCGTAGAAGAAAATCATATAGATACGAAAAGAAAATACTCGTATCGTGGAAAATAAAAGAAAATCGATCGACGTTAGTTTTTCCCTTCTTTTTTCTTTTTCTTTTCCCCAGACCACCACTCTTCCTTTCTCTTTCACTCCCTCCCTTTCTGTCTGTCTGTCTCTCTCTCTCTCTCTCTCTCTCTCCCCCTCTCTCTCTTACTCGCACTCTCGTTATACGAGCAACTGCGGAAAGGAAAGACGTGGAAAAAAAAGAAAAAAAAGAAAAAAAAAAAAAAGAAAAAAAAAAGGAAGAAGAAAGAACCGATTACGATACAGCTTATCTGTGCCCGCGCGTGAAATTCAAAGGACGATCGGAAACGACTACGATAGCGATCGAATGGTTTTTGGGACAAGGGCGATCAGTAATAAATACCGTATACGTACTTGTACATCGAAACGATACGCAGAGGTCGAACATCTTCGATATGGGCCGACGTCGGTTAGAGCGAGAACGTGTCGTTTCGAAAAAAAGGTTTCTCTTTCTCTTTTTCGTGTTATTTTACGAAATAGAAACAAAAGAAGGAAAAAAAAAGAAAAAATGAAGAAAACAGTAACGACGAGTAGCAAGAAAAGTAATAAACGTAAACTTTTATAGATGAAACTTTGAAAGATGGAAACTCGCGCGTATTCCGTAGATTTTATAAACGAGCGATAACTCGGCAAAAGAAACGACACAAAAATTCGTATGCGTGTACCGAGAGTATGCGTTCAGCGTGTGCACATATGCGTACACGTCCAATCTTCGAGTGGAAGACGAGCGACCGTTGCGGAAGGTGCTTGAAGATTGTCGGTAAAATTTTATTGTTATATTTATTATCTCTGCTAGACACTCGATGGCACATCAAACAACTATCGACGTTCTAGGAGACGAGTTAAAGTGGACTTTGATAATATAGCATTAAAAACAAACGACACCGACTACGTTAAACGCGTCCAGCCGAAATCATTTACAACGTGTCAAAGTTCAACAGGTATCTATACAATCTGCGTAACGACGGAAGAACTCGACCGATTTCAATGTCCGTACACACTATGCACATGTTTGTCGCGCGTTACGATAATCTTTGGCCAAGTATATCTTCGGATTCGACGATGTACACATTTCGCGGTCGTCTTTCTTCCACGATGCAACGTTCCCTGTCTTCGCGTGTAGCCAATCTTCCAGCCGACAGTGCATAGCCGACGAACGCATAGTCGAATTCCTTCCCCGCGACACATCTTCGATGGATGGATCAGAGATTCTTCGGAACGTGGAATATATCTTGGAACGGTCGAGATTCGTCATCGTTTCTTCGAGCCGACGAACAGACACAGAGCCACGAGCGCCACGAGCGTCAAGGGTTTTGGTCAAAGTGCTCCAAGTAGCTGGTAACGGAACCCTCTGTACACGCTAGTGAGAATGCTCGGCCTTTATACGCCGCGAATTGCTCGAGGGTAGAGAGCCAGCTTCGCGAGACCTAGAAGAACATTAACAGCAGAGTCGCGTTAATCGCGAATGAAAACTATCGAGAAACACAGTTGTCGTAGCTTAGGTACCAACGGAGGACGGGCCTCCCCCGATTTCTATCGGAATCGAACGGAATCCAGCGATTCCGATCGATCGTCTGAAAGGTAATCCTTCCCATCTGCTGGTCGTCGATGCCCTCCTGTTACGATCAAATACCACAGGGATCGAGGAAAAATGGAACACGAGCAAGGCAAAGAAGCGTAAGGAGCTACCTACGTTCCGGATCCACTCGGACGGGAAGAAGCAAAGCGAGGTGTAACGGACAAACTCGTAACGAGACACATAGAGGCGTTCTATCGAGATTTACGTTGAAAAGTAGGAGAAGAAGAGCGGGTGAAGGAAGAGGAGAGGTGATCACGAAGATGGATGGAGAGAGGGAGGTGAAAATTTTCTAGGTGATTCCGACGACCTTTCTCGTCGATTATAAACCAACGAGATTGCCATCCAAAAACTAGGATCGAAAGCGAGATATCCTCTACAACATGAGACCAGGTTCCACTCCGTTGACAACGTCGATCTTATGAATCGCGGTCAGATGACGCTGCAGGCTCGTCTTCTGAGTGAAACTGTAGCTGCAGTAGTAACAGGGAAACTGCCGTTTTCCTCCGCATTCCCACTTCATGTGCCGCCTCAAGTTGCACAGCATCGTGTATCCCCGGCCGCATTTCTGACAGGTGAACCGAGACCTCGCGAAACCTGTCGAACGAAAAGAAAAATGCTGCTGTCAGTCGTTTACATCGATCTCGTAGGAACGAAAAGAACCGGGAAATATCGAGAAAATATCGATTGTTCTGACTTAGACGGAGATTTCTAATCGGCGATAAACGTGTCACGAGTGCTCTGTTCTTCGTGAGAATGCCCTGGCAATGGGTGAAACCGATAGTTTCGTTAATCCGTTATAACGGACTCGATTGCTTCCAAATTAATTGCCAGTGTCAGAAAAGAAAAGGGACAAAAAATGAAAGAGAAGGAAAAGAAAGAAAAAAAAAGGGAAAGAAAAAAAAAAAAAATAAAGTTCCACCTCTGAGATGACGACGACGGCGACGATGACGACGACGACGGCGACGACGACGACGACGACGACGACGACGACGATGATCGTTTAAACGCGTGGTCTATGCGAACGAGAGGAACCGTGAAACTGGCAATAATATTCTGTCGACTACGTTAACCGAGAAACAGCAACGACGGAGATTTTTGTTCAAAACGCTGTTCCGCGCTTGGAACGCGCGTGCGTTTAATCGATTAACGATTTCGGTTTTCGCTTCCACAACGTCAAATGAATCAACGATCAAAACGATCACGACTGGTAGATAATCGTTTATTCAATTCTGCATCATAGGAAAGGAATAGGGAGAAACACGTAAAGTAAAGGCACTGCGAGATATTAGGAAAACGCGAAACGCGTCTTCAAAGTTTGACGTTCGATGATAACTGAATCTTCGCGTGTCGGTTATTAGCTTCCAAGTAGCTCTTCCTTCCTTTCGTTCTTCGCTCGACGATCCGCCATACTGTATATCTTCACCGACGAAACCGTCAACGACATACACACACACCACACACACCGAGAGCTGTGTCGTGGACACCTGCAAAAGAACGTTGGTATATTTGTCAAGGCTATCTAATACATCGTAGAATTCGTTCTGGAATAGGAAAACCCGTTCGGCGTTTGAAGTTGGCGCATGGAAAAATCGTTCCTGCGAACCAACGCGTGAAAACCAGTGGTGGATCAGGACGCAACGTTCTCGTCAGCGTTCGTTTTCTTTAACGATTTATTGCTTCTTTACCGCTTAATCGAACAAACGGTTACATGGGATGGATTCTCTCGTCTGCTAATCGCGTCGCGCGTGGCGAAAAGTATCGTCATTCTAAAGGAACGAAAACACGGATAAATGCGGGATTCAACTGTAAGAGGATCTCATCCATGTTTTTCGCGGCGGTACGAAGATGTTGTGCGCGTTTAGCATGTGTTGCCTTAGCTTTCCGTTCTGCGTGTATCTCGCCGGGCATAGGTTACAGGCAAAATGCTTGTGTCCGCCGCATTCGAATCTCAAATGTTTCACCAGATTGTGTCTCATTTGATACGATCTGCCGCATCGGTAACAGGTGAAAGGTTCCGCGTAGCATCCGTCCCTCCATCCGCTCGCGGTGTTTCGCGCTTCTGTAAAACAATGAAAACCAAGATGTCAAGTTGAATTTATCTTGTTCCAGTAAAAACCTTGGACAATAAACAGTCAGCTGGTATTACGAGTAACGTACTCTCTCTCCCTCTCTCTCTCTCTCTCTCTCTCTCTCTCTCTCTCTCTCTCTCTCTCTCTCGCTCGCTCTCTTTTGCCCTTGCCCGCCGCCACTGCCAGAAACGGTTCGATCTTGGACAATGAAAGGAAATCAGGCTCTTTCTTCCTCCTTCCCCCTCTACCCCCCTCTCACTCTCTCTCTCTATCTAGTGCGTAAACGTTTATTTCGTACCGTTCGTATAATAACGGTTTTTACAGATATCTATGGTATCATCTTTGGCTGTACACCTCGTCTTATCGCTTAACGCATAGTCCAAGGGTGTTCTTCTAACGATAAGCTACCGTGCGTCAAAGTCTCGGATAAATGGAAATCAATTGGAAACGCGAGCTCGAATTGGATAGAATTCGGCAGGGGGAAAAGAAAAAAAAAACAATCGTACTCGCGAGCGCGTCGCTTCTATCGTTGAACAAAGATTCGCTTAGGAACGGAAAACGTTGGAGGAAGATAAACGTCGTGTGTTTGCAAAAGATGCCGACGCAGACCGATATTTTGCCTGTATGTCGCGGGACAAAATTGACACGTAAAGTTCCTTCTACCACCGCACTCGAATTTCATATGAGCGGTTAAATTTCTCTTCATCTTATACGTTCTTCCACACCATTGGCATTTGGCAGTCGCGACTTGCCTGGTTACGGACCTCGTATCTGCCATGTTTCTCTCGATCGAATGCCTCCATCCGAATCCTAGAAATAAACGGTAGAACCTGTTAGAGAAGCGGGCAATAAAGTCCAGTCTGTACGACGGTAGACGATTTAGGGAAAAACACATACACCGGAACGTAAGGATCCTCGGTGGTGCCGTTTCGCGCTACGGTGGAAGAACATGCGAAGAATCAACGAGAAATGGAATGAAATCGGTCGACGAGAGAGGCAAGAAAAGCGTAGTTGGTTCGTTTTGGCATAGAACCGTATAACGATTACGGAAAACGCACACCACGTTTATTCGATTGGTACAATTACACCCGGCGTCGCGCGTTTGGACGCCTGGAACAGTCGTCTAACCACAGGCACGCACGGCACACGATCGACCATCACCGCTGCCTCGAGTTCGCGTACTACGAATTTCGTTGTCCTTTCGACGAACGGCGGCGCGATTCGAGTCGATCGTAGACGCTACTCGCTGTATACCGCTAATCCGTGAATAAATATCGCAACTAAGAAGGGTAAAAATCGAAATAATCGAAATAATCGAAATAATCGAAATAATCGAAATGAACGCGCTTTCCTCTAATCCTAACCGATGGAAAGAGAACGGAAGCAACGGAGTATTATCAATGCTTGGTTCTAACGTGACGATCGAGGTTGCTCTTTTGAGAAAACCTAAACTTGCAGATAGGACAAACGAACTTTGGCTCGACGCCGCACTCGTAATTGCGATGCCTCCACAGCGAGGTGAAAACCGCGTACACGCGGTTGCAATCCGGACAGACGTGCTTCTTCTTCCTTCGTTTCTTTTCTCGTTCCACCGGGCTGCTTTCTCGAGCGTTTCTCTGCTCGGTCACGAGCAACTGATTGTTGCACTCGAAGATTCTGTGACGCGTCAACGAGGCCATCAGCGCGAAATTTTGATTGCAATCGGTGCAAAGGTAGTTTCTCGGGCCCCAACGATGCGCGTTGCCCTGTTCGTCCTTTAACGTCATGGAGCGAAGATTCCTCATAGGATACGTGACCACGCGAGACGTCATCGGCATCATCGGTAACATCGGCAACGACGGCAACGTTGACACCGTCCAGTTGGACGAGCTGTA